ACAAAAGTAGTGTGATGTGATGTGTATACACAATGTTACGAATTAATTAGCATGTAATAATATCACTGATGTACAACTTTTTTATTTTAAGAAAGCCCAACATCTCGCTAAGATTATTCCACTTTTCCTTTTCAGTTTGACCACAAAGATTGTCACATACCAAAATCAATCCCTCCTTTGGAAAATACATAGTGACATGAAATAATCACTTTTATTAGCCACTAGTCTTTGTGGTGTAAAAAAGTTTGACAAAAGACTCCTTTCACTAAGTTAGAGGGAGTAGAACTGCAAATAGTACATGAAATATTGACAAGGTCATATTGGAAGTCAGGCTAAGTACAGTATAAAGACATGTACCACACACTTTAGCCGAAATGGAGAACCAACTTAAATTTTCAAGTGATAGTACAATGGCATTATATGTTTCATTACCTTCCCACTGAACTTCTTCTCGAGCTCTCTGACAAGCCTAAGATGTATCTTCCGGTAGGCTTTCCTTAGTCTATATGGGACATGGATCACAACAGCTTTGCGGTTTCCAGATACATCAATCTGACTGGAATTTGATAAAAGTAAGCATCACAATGAGAAACTGTAGGGGATGGAAAAGGTAAGAAATCAATATATGTTACATACACAGCAGAGTTTATGAATAGGTCCTTCAAATCACTCTTTAGATCTTGGTTAGTGTTCTCCAAATCAAACAATGCCTGCAGAAGAATTAACCATGGGGTCAGGAACACAGTGAGATAATTTTAGAACAAACAGAAAGCATAAATTTGTAACTTCAAAAGATAACCATAAGACACCTGGGCAACAGACTCCTCAAATTCAGATGGCTCGGCATCCTTATCCTTGTGAATCTTCTGCAATGCAGTGTACATGTTGCAACCTGGTCATAAAAGCAATTATTGTGTTGTCATTGACAAGTACAGAACAATTAAAATGCAAGTACTAGCTTAATTATCATTATTCATCCTGAACTCTAGGATGAAAAAAACAGGAGATAAAAGAAATCAATAATAGATAAAGGTAAGCCAAAACTAAATTATATAGAATGACAATTGGAAAACGAAACGTGCAATAACAAGTACTGATTGGAAGACGAGTTTTGATACATTTTCTTGTACGGATAACTGAACCATTATTGTTGCATTACTTGTTCACTCTTACTGTTAATAAATGATTTTAGTGGAAGACAATTTAACAACAAAATACTGTATCAATGCAATGCCTATGCAGAGAAAGAAATTCTACCCAGTTTCATCTAAGATAAGAATGTGAAGATGAACATGTGTTTCTCAACATGACTGATCCTAGCAATGATTGTTCTTCAACACATTTTTTGGGTATGGATCAAGGAACCAGTGTAATTTCGCTGATTTGATTGTCAATGAACATTTTTTGCACAAAAGATAGTTTTTATACAAATTCAGGCATAGATTAATATGTAAACCCAAAGGACTAAAGGTGAAGAAGACACGACACTAATTGTAAGGAGCAAATAACAAACTGTTACAAAGGAGACAAGCAATACATGTGTTGGGAAAAGAAAACATTCTTCATGTTAATTCCAGCACCCACTAGTTCGGATATCCGGATTTAAAAGATGTATCATTTCCTTTCACATCCAAGGAAGTAAAACAGAGCAGACTCACTCGTATTCCATAAATCACTCCAATAAACTAATGCACCTTATGAATCTAAATAATGAAATGGGCATAGATTTTCGGAAGATAGAAAGAGCGGAAAGCGTCAAAAAGGGAACGAGAATATATATATTGAGCTAAGATTGTACAATAACACATAAGATTGAAGCCTTACCTTCGATGACCGATCGGCAGCAAGAGGCTATCAACTGCGGAGAAGCGCTCTCTCACCTGTAAACCTTATTTCGGCGGCAGAGACTATGCCAGTAGTGGGTGCGCGAGTTTAAATGGCTGTGGATCTGTAAGCCCTAGTTGTGTAGTGACGTGTGCATTCCAATATGGGCTTGCCTTTTAGACTTTTAGTTTTGCATAATGGGCTTTCTTTAAGAGTAGGGGTGGTTCGGTACGGTATACCGAAGATTTTATCCCATACCTTTACCATACCGTAAACTTTCGGTATGCAAAAATACATACCGTTACCATACCTAAATTTCGGTATACCTTGTTTCGGTATACCAAAATTTCGGTACGGTAAGCTACGGTATCGGTAAATTATCATGATTTAATATCAAATTATTATATTTCAAATGAAATATAGAAAATTAGTGTTAATAGTGATATACTAAAATTATTAATGAAATTAATTATAAAATGTCAATGATAACCTATTTTTGTTCTATTCTACTTTGAAGAAAAAAATATTATAAATATGTACGGATACTTCAATACATGATATATGAAGATAACAACACATTCTGCTAAAATAATAATTTAAACAACATAAATATATTTGAAATAACATCGATCTCCAACAAAAAGTATAAATAATTCAAGAAACATGGATATAAAGTCATTATCTTTGAATTAATGTCGTGTTTCTAGTTATTTTTATAATTTTAAAGAAGTTATTGACTTGGAATTACGGTATGACGGTATAACGGTATACCGTTTGTTTCCAAAATATATACCGATACCATACCGAAGTAATTCGGTACGGTATCATACCGTACCAAAAGTGTCGGTATACCAAACACTTCGGTAAATTCGGTATTTTTCGATATGGTAAGTCCGGTATACCGAAATTTCGGTATTTTTCCCCACCCCTATTTAAGAGTAACAATGCAAGTCAAACAAACAACTTTAAGAGGTAGTTTATAACTTTATCAAATTTGATCGAAACGTATAAAACTAAAATAAAATTGTATAATTGAGATTTTTGGAGAAAACAAAGATATCCAAATAAGAAAATATAACAAGTTATAAGGATCAGAGGGAGTACTATTTTGTTATTTGCACGGCACACTTGCTACAACTTATAAAAATTATCACCGTTCAAAGTTTGTTGTCATTAAAAAAGAAAAATCAAATTAGGCAAGATTTTTGTGCAGCACATTCTATACTCCCTCCGTTTCATTTTGTTTGACACAGTTGGACTTGTCAACATTTAAGAGAAAAATTTACTGAAGGGGATAAATTTTACTGTTTTGACACTGTTTGGCACTGTTGAAACACTGTTTGAACACTGTTTGGCACTGTTTGACATTATTTTGCACTGTTTTGGTAAAGATTTGTTTACCAAATAAGGAAATAAGGAAGTGTGACATTCATTTTGAAGCATCCAAAAAAGGAAAGTATGTCAAACAAACTGAAATGGAGGGAGTATTATTTAAGTCAAGATAAGTCATATTGATCCACACAATACTGTGTTCTCACTAACATCACGACAATTGGGTTAAATTTTAAATTTGTTTATTGAGACTTACCCAAATGTCAAATTAACATATTCATTAACATATTCATTAACATGTTTATTGAGATGCATTTTCTTTTAAGTCTGTTATACTTTAGACACACCTATACCTGAATGTAACATGTATGATATATTTGAGTTTGATGCAATGTTTAAGAACAAAACGATTTCCTTTAGGAAATCTATCCAAAAGTAAGAAATAATAATATGGATAGGAGTAAAAAGATCAAATGATATGATGATAGACAAACAGATAAAATAATAAATTAAAATGTTCATAGGATAACTCTAAGAGGAATGACATCAATTTTGAAATAATCAAATTATTTATCAAATGACATCAAATTTTTTATTTGAAAGGGATTTATTTTTTAATAATACCAATTATCACCGATCAACTAATAACAAAACATGCTATATAAATAATTAATTCATATCAGCTATTCAGATAAACAAACAACACAAATTTCATTATAGATTTCTCTAGTTTTTTTTCATTATGTTTTGTTTCATGTATTTTAAACATGTATTTTAAACAGGCATTGTAATGCTATTCAGTTCATAGGCTTTCATTACCTATAGATTTCTCTAGTTTTTTTTCATTATGTTTTGTTTCATGTATTTTAATTTTGGGTCAGGCCTAGCCCCCCAAAATTCGTTTTATTTGTACTGTTTGATTTTTACTTTCTCGTATTTCTCAGAGGTATGCCTCTGAAGGGAGGTTTTGGTGTGGTTCCCCTTTGTTATTGTACTTCATGTTATTTTAATAAAATTCTGGCAAATGTTCCCCGACATTTGCTCACTGATTTTGGTGGTTTGCCTTCCGGGTAAAAAAAACATTATCACTAAAAGTTCTCTTTAAAGTAATTATTATTCAAAATTCTAACAATCAAGTTCAATATTTCATTACCATTATCAACAATACTAATTATACTAATTATTATTACGTAGCAGATTCTTGAAGATGGTGTGAATGTTTTTATTTTAATTTTCTTTTACTCTGAATATTTTTGTATGGATTTATGTTTTTTTATATTCACTTATTGTGCTCCATTTTTGAACTGATGTAAAATTGTAAAAAAAACATATTCCCTCCGGTTTTTAATAAACTTCACACTTTCCTTTTTGGGACGGTCTAAAATAAACTTCACACTTCCTTATTTCTTTTTTTGGCAAAGAAATCTACATCAAAACAGTGCCAAACAGTGTCAAACAGTGTCTCAACAGTGCCAAACAGTGTCTCTACAGTGCCAAACAGTGCCTCAACAGTGTACTCTACAGTAAAGTCAAATTTCTTTCCTTATTTTGTGTGAAGTCAAAGTGTGAAGATTAAGGGGGGTGTATTCATTCAAGACTTTTTAAGACATTTTAGGATTATGAGATTTTAGGAGACATTTGAGACTTATGTGGATTTGTCAAGATTTGTGTGGATTTGGACATGAGACATATTAAGACATTTTTGTATTTTATTCATTTAACACCTACCTCTTCTTAAATCCTAATACAGCACATTCGTACTCCACATAACTCAATTCACCTAAGACAATCATATTTTCAGCAGTCTCAAGTCATAAGCATCATCATCAACACACCAATAACGGTCTGTTACTCTCTGTCCAACTCATAATTATAACTAAAACATAAATAGAAATGAGGCCAACGATGAAGTTCCACTGGAGAAATGATTTCCCTCAGGCTATTGCTTCAATTGCACTGAGATAATCCCCAGCACTAAAAGATAGTGATTGTCAATGTTATGAAAGCATAAAACAAAAATAACTTTACATAAATGCTACTTGGACAATCACATGACCTATACTAGTTCATAGCATCATTCCACATATTAGATGCTATTGTGTCCCTCCAAGCATTTGCATTAGCCCTTTGTTGTTCTTGACTTGCAAAATATTGTTCAACATCTTCCGCTTCAAAAGATCGAATTTCATCTTCAGGATCAACCGGAAATTCATCAGAGCGACATTCTTTTCGTAGAAAGTTATGCAATCCAACACACGCAAGCACTAGCTCGGCTTGAGTGCGGAAAGGAAACAGGGGTGCTGTTTTGAAAATAACGAACCTTGACTTGAATATCCCAAATATCCTTTCAACCACGTTCCGTAGTGAAGCATGACGAAGATTAAAAAGTTCCTTCGAATTATTTGGATCACGACCTTGACCAGCAAAATCTTGTAGGTGATAGCGGGTACCTCGAAAAGGTGCTAAGAATTGACGTCTATTTGGATATCCGCAATCTGCCAAATAAAAATATCCTACATAATATGGATAAAAATTATAGTTATAAAATCTTTTATAAATATACTTACAATAGTTGGAAGAATAATAATAGCAAATAGTAATTGTAATAACAATAAAAACACCAAATAAGTGATAGTAGTATATAACAACCGCATTGATTATTACTGATAAAGGCAATATATAATGTCACGCATGCGTACCATTGGGAACTTTCAGACCGTTTTCCCTTGTCAATGCATCGGTCAAAACTTTTGAATCGTGTGCTGATCCCTCCCAGCCACTCAACACATACATAAATTGTAGATCAAAGTTACAAGTAGCCAAAACATTTTGTGAAATAATCCCATGACGATTTCTATAGCTACTTGTTTCACGGCCAGATATCATTGCCGGTATATGTGTGCCATCAATAGCTCCAAGACATTCCTAAAATGAAAAGAGAACATATATAATAAATTCATACAAAGTTATTTTAAGTTATGTGCGAGATATATAAATTATGAACTTACTTTGAAATACGGATAAAATCTGGTACTTTCTCTTATTTTTTCTGGCACCGTACGTCCAGGTTTTGCCATCATTTCAACCGCAAAATGTTGTAGCACCTTCAAAACCTTGTTGAAATTTTGACTAACAGTGAAATGTGATCTTCCAAATGTTTTGCGTAATTGACAATAACGATTGTTCTGACCAACAATAACTAAGAATGTTGCAAGCATTTCCTCAATGCTGACGTACCTTGTATCTGCCAACAATTGTTTCTCCCTAATAATATGGCATAATTTCAAGAAAACGTCTGGATACATTCTATAAATATCCCGAAAATCTTTTGGATCTTCCTTCAGGATTTTATGAATATAGTCATAGCCATCTCTAGTTTTTGGTCTCCTCGCAAGTGAGTAACGGTTCACACGATTCTGATGCATTTTAACTACGTGCAAGCTTAACATGTATATGGCGGTCTGAATGACTACAAATAAATATCTAATATGTCTATACATATCTTCTCTACTCTCATCTTCTTCAATCTCATCCATATCACTATCATTATCTTGGGCCATGTCACTATGTGACATTATGTGTACTGTTGAACAAAAAACCGAACCACATTAAGCAAAGAAACAATTAAATCCAAATGCAAATCATGAATACATAATAGTAATGTCCATTACTCATTAAAAACAAATTTCTTAATATACAAGCTGCTGCACCACTCAATATACGATTATTACCAGTAATACTGTTATAGCCATATTGTTACAAGACCCAAAAGGTTATGACTTGAACAATCGACACCCTTAACTCGTATAAAATCAGCCGCAAGTATAAAATAGCCATCATACTGGACTTATGGTTTTATTAACAACAAAACTTATTTTTACAACAAAACTGATTTTTACATTTCTTTTGGGAATTTCATCGAACACTTTGGAGGCAGAATATTTCAACACTTCCATAAATATTAACAATATGGTTCATTCAAACAAAGAATCAGTAACCTGACCAGTGCTTATGAGATGAGCTATAGTATGACTAATCCAGGGGAGAAGCTTATACTATTGGGAAAGGAAATCTTTCATTCATTAAGAAAAACTAGGGATTTAACAAAGAGGAAAAGAGATAACAAAGATGCAAGGATTTGATTCTGTGGAATGAAGAAAAATGGTGGTCGAAAAGCAAGAGGGCGGAGAAAATGTTTACCTCTGTCGATTGAAGTTCCGCTGCCGATTGTTGTGTTCGAAGGAGCCAGATAACCTTCGTGCTTGCTAGGATTTCAAATCTCACGTAAAGGTGTGAGATTTGGGTAATGGGATTTCCTTCTATGTTTGGGCTTACAAGTTTGGATATGTCCACATGATACCTAGAATCCATGTCTTGATGTCCAAAATGAATACACCTAGACATTTTAAGAGTTTTAAAATGTCTTAAAATGTCTTGAATGAATACACCCAGATTTGACAAATCCTAAAATGTCTTAAAATGTCTTGAATGAATACACCCCCGTAAATAAAACCGGAGGGAGTATATTTAATCATCTCATGAAGAAAAATATATATGGAAAGGGAGATGCTGGTCGCACGAAAAGAAACACAAGAAAATGTAATCTCAAATACATAACTTTTCTAATGTAATACTTATTACACATATTAAAGTAATGGATTCTACATACGTAATGCACATTACATTACGATTTAAAATAAAACATCATACCAAACATTGCATTTGAATCAACACTTAATGCTCATTAAATTACATAGTTTATTTTTTTCAGGGGCGGATGTATGTAGCTCCATAAGGGGGCCATGGCCCCTCCCACTTTTTCATGTTTTTTTAAACATTACAATAAAAATTATTTGGGCCCCTCCCAAAAAAATATGAAGGCAACAGTAGGTAAGCCATACTACCTAATTCTCTATATTTAAAAATTTATATTTTAAATTTCATATTTATGAGAGATGTAATTTAGTCATGTATTTTTTACTGTTCTCATTATTAGTCCTGTAACTATACTCGCATGCTGATTAGATCCTCTAACTAATAGGTGTTTACAATTTAAGGATTTTTGCATCAGAAAGTACACATTCTGGCAAAAAATTCGACATTGGCGGCAGATTTTGCTGTGAATCGGTAGGAAAGTGTACTTTCCTATGGAAAAGTATTTAAATTGCAAAAAAATATTAATTACATGATCAAATTCACGAGCAAGTGAAGTACACAGCTAAAAAAGCACAAAATAAATTTATTGGATCAAAATTGCAAAATTACCTTTACATTTTAATACTTGTACTATATCCCCTTGATTGATTACATGATATCAAACATAGCTTAAAGAAAATGAAATTCCAATTTACATTTGCCAATCCCTACGTTCAAAAGATTAGTTACAAAAGAACGAAATTTCAATTTTAAAAACCACGTTATTTTGACGTAGAAAAATAACCACATAAGAGCCAAATCAGTGGGACAATTTGTGTCTCATAATAAGAATGTTATTATTGTTTTACCCAAAAATTTAATGGAGTTCTGCAACATAAAAAGATATGTAGAAGTTGTAGACAGGTAAATTTGGGACACTTTTCCGGTTTTCCCTCCATCACAATGATATTTCTATCTACTTATTTACCCATGAGATAATTTCTTCAGCACCACTTTGCCATTGGCAATCTAACATCATGTCATGAGCAACGCCTTCGATAAACATAGGTGACACTCCATAAAACCTTCCAGTTTCATCAACTCCCTCCAAATCCTACAAAATCATATATTCTGCCTGTTATTAGTAATTATTATTACCATATACAAGTCTTTTCACTATTGAAGAGAGACTCACATTTTCAAGGCATTTTATTTTATTAGTAAATCAAATAGAATCAAATTTTGGATGTGATGATGATCATTTTATTATCGCTGCTCTGTAACAGGGTTTAGACTGTACCACTATGAAATCAGCCTTTGCACCCAACACTAGAACTTCCAATAAGGGATCTGCCACCGGAGGGACAGGGAGTGATGCATTCAGCTTTCTGATATCAAACAAGGGTAGCCTTGAACTTTCAGTCATCAGCTTTTGGTAGCTAAAAGAAAAAGATGCTTTCAGTAACAGATTGAAACTCATATTAACCTACAAGTACTAGCACTGTTCTCAAAATCAAAGCACAGGCATCCCTTATCTAGTTATTTACGTAAGGATTTTTCTTGGTCTGGGCCTGCTTGGAGCATATTGGTTCCTATTGAGGTGCAACTCAAGTCCAACATTGAAAATATCCTCAAGTACTAGCAACGTTCTCAAAATCAACGCCTAAACCCCATTTGGGCGCTAGGCCTCCCTTGTCTAGTTATTTACCCGAAGGATTTTTCTTGGTCCGTGCCTGCATGGACCATACTGGTTCCTATTGAGGTGCAACATTGAAAATATCAAAGAGAGTCATGGATCAACTTAAATACAAGTGTCTACCCTAGGCTTAGTGAGGTGTCCAAAAACAAATTTGTATTGGTCACTTGGTTTAACCCAAAGCAAACAATATGATACTAATGCACAGTTAACACGATGCTATTAAAACTAGCAAATCCCTGCATTATTTCGCGCACTAAAATGTATAAGAATGTTTTGAATTGGACTGAAATTTTAGGGACTGGTTTGATCTGGTCTATTTAAGTTTGATCTGAACTAGCCTCGTAGATGTCTCGTCTAAGTGTATTTTATAACTGTCCAAGTCTGGTATGGGACTGAAAACAATCCAAGTAAAAACAACATAACAACCAAAATAAGTAATTTCTTAGCAGAATTAGATAAACACACAGAAGAGGACAAGTTTAGCTTTTTCATACATTTTTTTATTAATAAATATATACATTAAAAATAATATTTCATTATTTAGCAAATCTATCCATTTTAAATTTAGCAATTTCATTAGATTCAATGTACTCATGAAATGTTAATGTTACCAAATGGGCTCCTAATTTGACTTCATAGTAAAAAGCGTAACATTAACAACCATTAGGCCAGTTTTTTAGCACTAACCGAAGAACCAGCTTATCATCCATTGCAGCTGAAAAAAACGTTTCTTTACAAAGAGGTATAGACGTTTGGAAAGCCTTGGCTGCTAAGCTCATCGTTACCTGCTCAAAAGGTTGATATTCAAAATTATACATCACTTCTATTGATTCAAAATTGAATAGCTCAAACAGTTAAAAAACATCCAAATTGTTCTTTGAAGAACGATCACAAACCTTAAAAGCGGCAATAGGTTTGGAGAAAAGACATCGCCACACTAACCGACTGAGTTTAAAAAAGAAAAGCATTGAGATAAATATAACGCCACTATAAAATGCTAATTCAGCTGCATGATGTACCTATTACCTGATGGAGGCACAGAGCAAACAAGCACGGCCTTGGAAAGTCTGGGGTATGAGCTTTTGTTTTCTTGAATCATGCCTGAGTTGTAATATATTATATATATGGTAGTTTCAATTAAATTGGTGAAGGGTACTTTTGCTACCGGTGAATACACTCGAAATGTCAGTATTAGGGTAATACTGGATATCAAATCTACACGAATGGTAGCAGGGTGTTAAATAATTTATTTATTAGGTAATAATGTTCTCAAATTAAGAATTAGGAAATTAACATAAAGTAAATACATAGTTTTTCTAAAGGAATATGACAAATCGGAAATATATATTATAAAGGAATATACATAAAGATCTGTTCAAGAGGTTTTAGCTCAAACATTCTTTAACAATTAATAAATTATGGTAAATAAGGGATTGCAGATTGGTTCAAGATTTTCAATATTAATAACATTGAAATAATTTACACTAGTTTGTTTCTTATATTTGAATTACACATAATATCATATATATGTGTTTGTATATATATGTCGTTTAACCACTTTCATCATGTAATAACATTCATGATAGGATATTTATATAGATTAGTTTTAGCATGTGTATAAAACCACCCTTTAAATATGCAAAATAGACCTTCCAAATAAGTTTTATATGTCACAAATTTTTTAAGTAAGCTATCAAATAAAGGTAAATTGCGAAAATATTTTCATTAAACCTTTCCTCCTATTTCCTCCAACCAAACACAAATTTTTATCAAAATCCTTCCTTCCTCTTCCCTTCCCTTCCCTTCCCTTCCCTCCTTGACTCTTCCCTTCCCCCCCCCCCCCCCCCTCCGTTGAACCAAACAAGGCCTAAGAAAGCATGGTCATTTGAAACTAAGGAATTATCACATGCAGCTAGGCAATGACATAGATAAAACATGAGTACATCTTCCTAAGTGATGCATCATTTTATAAAAACAAACAGAAACTAATAGAATGGCTTTTTTATCATGTAAAAAGAACCAATAAATCCAGAATCTACTTACCTTTTTGGTCTCCCGTTGATAGATTGGCTATATAATACTGCACAATAAGCCCTCCAAATGAATGCCCAATCAATACTGGTGGATGCCTGATTTCTTTATGTATAAAGTCAGCAATATCATTTGCATGTGTCTACTGCAAACACAAAAGAAAAGAAATAAGTGAAATCGATTGCTCCCAATATATCTCATTGGCGTTATTAGATGGTAAAATCCACAACCTGAAGGGAACCAGCAACTGGAGCAGCAGGTGCATCACTTTCACCCTGACAATTTAAAATGGATAATAAGGTGCAGTTGTTGTAGACTTTCAAAGCTTTGAGGAATATGGATGTGTGGAAGTGAGTATGACTATTAAGATTGAAAACACATATCCTATACTTTTCTCACCAATCTTTTTTGTGAGTGTAGATTTTAGATCGAATAAAAAGTGTTGATCATTAGGAAAAAACGAGAATGCGTGGGAATTTGGTTCAAAATAAACGCAAATATGCGGTGGCAGATTTGGAATTGAGAGCCCGACTTCTGCAACAATGTGCAACAGTAATGTGAACATCATGAAGCTAAAAGTGCAAAAGGTTCATCAGTTTTGACTATTTACATTTTAGATTAAAGGGAGGAAAAATAGAAAGTCTGGCTACTGAGAGAGTTTGTATAGTAAGATGATTTTTATAGTTCAGTGAGCTCGACTTTTCTCCTCTTCTGATTCTATTTGTGATTGATACTCCATGGCTTAACACTAAATGAGATGCTTGAAGCGTTTGGAGTCAATGTTTTTTTTATAAAAGACTATGGTCATTATTTGGTAATTAGCTTCTGGGTGTTTCTGAATGGAAAGAAGAAGCCCATTATTACTATCATTAATATTATTAGTTTCCTAAAGTATTACTCCCTCCGTCCCATTTATATTGTCCCGTTTTACCTTTTCGGGAAGTCCCACTTAAATTGTCCCATACCATATTTGGCAAAGTTTGTGTGGCTCTAAATCATTCTTACTTTATTCTTACTTTATCAATTAATATCAACCACACAAACCCACTTTTCTTAATAACCGTGTCACCCCTTTTCCGGGACAATATAAATGGAACGGAGGTAGTAGGTGTTAGTTTCCTTAGGTTATTATTAGTTGCAATTTCCTATTAGTAGACATATTCTATTTTAGTTACTTTCCTAATAAAAGTTTCGTAATAGAATTAGGGTTACTCTAATACTAGACCACTAAGACTCTTGGGACTAGTATAAATAGAGGTTCCATATTGATGAATAAAATCATCAATCTTGTGGAGAAAAATTCTTCTTGTGCGCTCGGTGGAATTGTGGAAACGACGGACTCTTCCTTGCCTTGGGTGGGAAGCTGGTTTTTTTTCCAACTATCATACTTATCGTTCTTCTTTTTTATCTCCCAACCACCCTGTAACAGATTGACCTCCTCAATGAGGAAATTGTAAAAAAAAAAACAGATAAAGAACATGGTTATATTATGGCATCATGGTGACTTTAGTATTTGAAAGAACATATACTATAATATGCAAGAAATTACAAAAAAAATTAGACATGTAGAGACCAAATTCATAATTCAACCTAGCAAATCCAAAATGTGAACCCTGACTAAAATAAAATTGAGGGAAACAACAAATACTCCTAATGATGGATGAAAAAATGGAGATCTTAATGAACTGTACCTGCCCCAACAGACTTAGAGCATAGCAATTAAATCCATGTCTGGAAAAGAATGGCAACCAGTGTTCAGCCCAACACCAACCTGCATGGAAGCTTCCATGGACAAAAACTATCGGTGGTTTATGAGGTTCCTCTAGTTCCTTTGCTGGATCAGAAAAAAATCCCTTCTTCTGGAAAATGACCTCCATTTTCAGACCAGATGGAAGCTTGTGGAAAAGACGCGTCTGCCCTTTTTTCAGCTCATACGGAACCCTCATTTTGTTGCCGTTAGTGAGGACAGCTTGGGCTTTCAGTTTCACTTTACTATAGGGAAAGTTGAGGGGAATTAAGGTCCCGATCGAAGAAGCAGCCATTGTTGTCACTAGAAACGGAGGTAGCTGCTTTTGCTTTGTTATTCCAAAATGCCACCAAGTTCAAATTTTGATCTGCTAGCTTTATTAAATGGGCCCTGGCTCAAAATGAATAACGGGCCGGTAACTAAACAGTAGATTCGACAATAACAGCCCAATTTTGGATTTGACTGGTATCAAACTCCGGTTTCTCAACTCCCCTCATCAAGCTGATGAAAATTCTACAAAGCATCATTCCAGAATTCCATTTCCAGATCGAAATTCACCATGATGATTAAAATCAACAACTAACTGGTCCTTTTAGTCGAATTATATACTCATAAGATGATGTCCCCTAAGCCAATTTCCGAAGATCGAGGTGGCTCTTCTCAGGCTGCTGCGTTTAGGTATGCACCAGTTATACTCTTAAGGAAATCCGTAGTAATTGCCATGTTTATTGTTAGTTTTTTCCATACAATACAGGCTTACAGTATTTGGTTATTCAGTTATTCTATTATCTTCTAATGAAGTACGTGAATACTTCGTTTCATTATTATGGAAATTTGAAATGCTGACGACTTACTTAGCTGTCACAAGTTCTGAGAAAGATGAGTTTGCGTAAAGTAAGCTAAAGAATAATCGAAGGGGAGTGCACTGACACAGTTTAGAGATGCATTGTGTTTTGAGAATATTATTAAATGTGTCCACTGAGAGAGTACTGCTTAAACTGAAGTTGCAGTAATTTTAGACTTCATGCGAGCTGTAGTGTTTTACTTAACAAAAAATCTATTTCTACACACTTTTGTACACCCCCCCTATTTTGCCTTCGTTAAGAAGGCAGCATTTGTCTGTCAACTGCCTGTGTACAAAAGTGTGTACAACAAGAATGATTCTTTACTTAAGCATTCCCTTGTGAGCTGTGAATCATGTGTGTATCATTTTCTTGAAAAAATACACATGATAGTAGCTAGTCATCATTCATCACCATCATGCAATTCATGTAGGCTGGTCTTGCAGTATCAGTTACTTAATAGAGTTGACGAAAAAATCCTAATTGATTGCTGTCTCATGATGTTTTTCATGCATGTAGACATAATCTATGATGATAACTTACTAGGATTTTCATTTCATTATACCTTCTCAAGAAGGTTGTAATATGAAAGACATCACAAGAAGCTTTTTGCTTGAATCTAATGTGTTAATTGATTTAATATACTTATTGGGCTATATGTTTAATGCCACTACCCCAATTAGTAGGGTTACGGTGCTGATAGTGATGGTGGTTATCTAGTGTTTTAGATTTATTATGGCAAAAAAATGGTAACATAGCAATGATGGCTGATGAACTTTGTTAATTGTGCTTACATTGAAGTGCACCTCCAGGCTAGGTTCATCCTTAGCTGAAAAAAATGGTAACATAGCTGCCTCATATTCTCGTACTGATAATATGGAGGTTAAAAATGCAGGCAAACACCCTTGCAGATAATCCATTTTATTGGAAACTTCATGAGAATATGGTCAGTTTACTCAATGTATCACTATTTGTCTCAGACTGGGGCTTCTGTTGTACTATTTATCTTCAGCTGTCTTGTTCCGTCTTGCATCATATTTTTGATAATGCAAAAGCCATGGAAGGGCAGACCACTGGCTAATACACAGGTTTTGTGGAAATAATCCTTATGTTTTTAGTTCCTCTTCTTTTTATTCTTATGCTAGCAACCAATTCTCGATTTAAAGGGTGATGATCACACTTGCTTATTTCTCAATGTCTTTTTCTTCACAGGTAGTTCCTTCGGTGATAAATGGTGCCATTACAGCACTATACTTCACCATGTGGGGGAAAGGCCTTAAATCTTGTGGTCCTGTGCGGTATGTGAATTCTTGAGAGATGTTACATGTGTGGTGGTCTCTATAGCTGATATAAGCTATGTTCAAGGACTCAGTGTGACCTTATATTACATGCTACTACTGTTTTAGCATACCAATTTATCAATTGTAGAGTATTTAAAGAAGTGAACTGTGTGTTATCTTTATGAACAACTTAAAAAAATAATGACTTCCCATCATCTATAATAATACTCCCTCCGTCCCCAAATTAAGTTCATAATTTGACTTCATGCCTTCACGGGTTTTTAGGAAAAATAAATTTTTGAGTTGACTTTGCATTATGCCCCAAAAATACATGGTAGAGATTGGAAAATGAGTAATAAATGTTGTGCTTCATACTTTTTATAGGGGGTAACAAAATCTTTTACCACACAAATTTTAGGGATGGAAGGAGTATTAGTCTCAAATTCCATGTGCTCCTGAACCAAACTTTGGATATAGGGTTTCTATGTGATGGTGGTGCACTGATAAAATCATTCACAACTGGATTTGAAACAGTGTAATGGACTAATTGGTTTCCTTCATTTAAACAAGTATCATTAGATATTCACTATCGACTATAAGTTATTGGGCTATACTAACATATTTCACATTGCCTTGACTATCATAAATTTTAGCTGGGCCAGTGGTACAACCGTACAACTAAAAGCAACACTATTTTTTTGCATTACTTTTATATAGTCATCCTGCATTATGAGTATAATCCTTTTAAATTTGGGTTATTGTCCATTGCAGAGCCATATTAGCCGAATATTCTGGTGCTGTTCTTGGAGTAGTATCTGCTCTATTATATGGAAGGAAGGGCCACATCTGGAAAAAGGTGTGCAACTTTTATTTAGATATTTCGTACAACTTGAGTATCTAGCATTCACTCGCACATATAGGAACACAAACTGTAACATATACAAATTGTATTTAGCTGTTCACATATGTCACATAATATTGGTAACCATGGAACTGAATGGGTTTTGCTACTTTCACAGTTTCACCTGCATTTCTAATGTGTTAAGTAGCTTAAATTTTCTATCATCTTCATCAGGTGGGTGGACTCGTTGCAATATTCGCATCTTTCTATTTTTTATCTCAAGGATGGGCAATGGCAACATATTCACCAATTTATATCCTTTGACGTCTCTCAAACTAATATTGGGTAATGGACATCTTTTAGATCTCAGATGATGCTAACGAGTAAAAGTGGGTAGGAAAGTAATTTCCTTGTGCTTACTTGTACCTCAGAAAATGAAATGGGAGTTGAATGTTGATAAAGGTAAATTTTTATATAATAGAAAATAGAATTTAATCAATCAATACAACAACAACATCCAAGCCTTAGTCCCAAACGATATTGGGGTCGGCTAACATGAATCGATACATGATACACCAAAAGGAAAAGCATGAAAATAAAGATAAAAAAGATAAGATAAAAGAGATGAATATACATATAAAAGATAAAATAAAAAGGATATAGTAATATATATATAAGGATAAAAATATAAAAGAAAAAGAAAAAAAGAAGAGAAAAAAGAGGGGAATTTAATCAATCAATAAATAAAATAATTTTGAACAGATCATCATTTCATCATTTTCATTTACCCCAGTGCCGCAAAGGCTCCCACCTACGGTGGGGTAAGGGGGGTCGGATGTACGCAATCTTACCACTGTACTAGCACAGAGAGATTGTTTCCGGATGACCCATAGTGAAAATCGCGTCCAATTTTGGACAGATATCAAAAATAAATTAATTGAGTTTGAACTAATCTTTAATCTCCCACCCCACTTTCTTTTTAACCTAATTTCCTTTTAATGTTCTCCATATTTTATTTTCCCTACTATTTTCCAAGTTCCAAGTGGCCCCTTTACATAACTGATAAGGATTTAGGATTTGTCCAATTTCCACATGTCTTCACATGAAAGAGTATGCATATAAAGAACTTAACATAAAGATACCATTTGGTGATAGCGCTAAAGATGATAATGAGACAAAGACGGAACAAGTTGTAGGCATGAATGAAATGATATATAAGGATTTAGGATTTGTCCAAATTCCACATTTGTTCACATGTCAGAGAGTACATATAAAAAACTTAACATAAAGATACCATTCGGTGATAGCACTAATGATGATAATGAGACAAAGATGGAACAAGTTGTAGGCATGAAGGAAATGATAATCCCCATCTTTGCCGGAATCTTATCAGCATTGAGAAGAGTGATTGCTCGGCGGGTGTCCCTTAAGGTACCAAGTAATCTTATCCATTAGCATCTGTTTGATAAGACTAAATATGGTGAAGTGGCTGAATTGTATAAAAACTTAAAATGCATACCTTTTAAAAATGCACACTTAAATAATCAAATAAATTAATATATAAAATAATGCTAAAACTATCAATTTCAGCCATTTCATAAAAAATAGCAATTCCTCTCTTACGTCTTGTTAAATGAACTTGTATATACTGCTATGCTATATATGCACAGAATCAATTGAAGAGACGACTCAATGCCATAACAATTGCATCTGCAACATGTTTTTTGTTTCCAATTGCCATGTGGGACATGATTATAGTGAGTTTAGTTTTATGATCTTATGCCATTCAGTAACATTTACTTCAGTGTCTTCATGAATTTAAGCGTTCTTTATCTTTTCCTTGTCTGGGAGTTCTTCAGGGATCAAATAGTGTAGAGTTGCCATTTTCTGCATGGACTTTTACAAGTACCATCTTGTTTGGCATCATATTGATATTCTACGTTGATAGTATTGCAGAGGAAAGGTACCTTATCAAAATTATCTACTTCCTAGTTCCTATAGACATTTTTCTTCTCAACTTAAGGCTCAGCTTGGTAGCCAAAAGTTGATGATTCAACCACTACAGCCAAATATCCATACCGATCTCAAGGTCTTTATCGATGGTTAATAGAGTATGTGATATATTATTCTAGGATATGAATAGCTTACATGATTTAGAACACAATTTCGGACGTTTTAATGGGTGAAAGTTGATGATTGTGAAGAGATAGCTAATTCATTTGCAAATAATGTGTTTCATTAATTCATGTCATTATTGAGAAAATTAATTTTGTAATAAACTGCAGCCTAACTGAATTTATCTTTGCTTTTCAATCTATTTGTAGGTTGCAAATGGTTTTTTCTTCTCCAAGGCATTTAATGGCTGCTGGAGGATGCATCATTGTCATGGAATTTGCGTACAAAATGGACTTCTCCCTTCCTGGTTTTCTGATATGTGCAACCATTTTGGGATTTGGTGAATATAAAGCCTTTTTTCTCTTCTTAACTTTTCTAATGCAGAAAAACCTTCTAAGAAACACCGAAGTATAACAAATTCAACAATTTCCATTAAAAATAATAACTCATGTACTACTTTTTATCATAATATGCTGATTCTGCCACCTTCTGAAGTTAGTTAGCCACTTAGCCAGTTAGTGTAGTAAATATAGGCTTTATAAGGTTAACATGCCAAAAGTGAGGCCTACCACACAGGCCCTTAGCATACTTTTTATATTTACAGTGTATGTGTCAATAATGGGTATATTAAGAAAGAGCATATATACATGTGTTCGTTTGTGGACTTCCCATTCAGTTCATTGTATTTGAGTACATGCATAACACAGAGTAATAATGATTATTATTATCATTATATTATTATTATGATAATTCCAGGGATATATGAAGCAACATCACTGGACATTACAAGGAAGGGTTCTTCACAAAGCTCAAGTCTGTCGAATGGGTTCTTGGATGATCGCGTTGAAATGTCCCCTCTTCCAACTTAATGTATGCCAACTTAATATATGCACTCTCCCTCTTAAATGACTTGCACTTCTTTGTGTCACCCTTTTGTTTGGGGAGGATAAATGGGTAGAGCAGATGAGGAAAATGGAGTAATTAAAATTTACTTGTGTGGTTCAATGGAGACTGTTGATATTACTTACAAAAAAGGGTATAAAATAATACATTTGATATGAAAAAAATAGAAATGCAGTAAACTATATGAAAATAATATTGAGGAAGAACAGTTTTGATTCAATACTCCGTAGATGATAATGAAACCCCAACATACTTGAATTTGGGGAGTGAAATATGAAGAGTTAAGAGATCTTCTTAGCTCCTCCACCCTCCTAACCCTCCCATGGCACTATTAAAGCACACAAGACCTCCCCCCTCACTTTCATCTCTATCTCGCTAAAGTCCTCCAACCAAACAATGGCTCAAAGTACTGGTTATAAGAGTTGGAGTTGAAATAAAAACAGAACTGGAGTTCAAATAGAAAACCTATGGTAATTAGAGTTCACTAATACGTGTCATTGACTAATTATTTGTTGCAGGAAAACTATACGCATGGTTCAATTATTGCCAATGACATCACCAAAGTTCCTTAGTCATAGAAATCTGGGGCAACATGTGTAATATCTTGAGGTGCTGTCATATGACCAAACTTCTTTATATTTTCCCCCAATTTTAGAGTTGAGAATTTATTGTACAGCTAAGTAGCTAACATTGGATACCATTCACACTAATTTGATATTTTAATGCTTAGGTTTAATGTGATTATTAAATTCTGCACGCTTCCTCTTATATTGACTTTCACTTCTTTACCTCTGCCCTTTTGATTCTTACGGAGTATTTTTCAGACCAAGAGAACTGGTTAGACTATCAAGCACACGTGCAATAATCATGTAATGGTTTTTTTAATGTATAATCACGTAATGTTTGTGAACCAATTATCTTCACCCGGATTTTTTTTATATGAATGTTTTTCATTTTGTCTGGTTCTTGTCTGTACTATAGCATCCATCCAATTAGACTGGTCTAATTTTTGTCTTGTGTTGTGTAATTAAAATAAAATAATAAGCAAAAAAAAACAAGATTAAGAGAACATTAGTTAGCAGTTTTAATAATGTTATTGAAAACCCACAGCGCAACACATCAGTTCTCATTAGTGAGTTATTCCTTAAAGAAATTGGTTGACAAATACATGTACTGATGTACACTGCGTCACTGCGTATTACTAGTTCTGGTTAAAATTTCCATGAGTGGACAGTTATGGTCCCTACTTTTGGGAGGCTGGATCACCTCACTAATGCAATGGCATTAGGAGTGGGCATATGGTTTCAGTTCAGTTGACTATTAAAACATGTTAAAAACTTGTTGAATATTTTAGTCAGTTCGATTTTATTCATTTTTTTCACAATTTCACTTCAGCTTGCATTACTTCAAATCGGAATAAATACTGCCAAATTCATTTTTTTCACAATTTCACTTCAGCTTGCATTACTTCAAATCGGAATAAATACGGCCAAAATCAACCGAATTGCATATAGTTTAATCTTGGATTGATTTACTTCGGTTTCGTACAGTTGACCTAATGGATTTGCCCACCCCCAAATTATAACAAACTAGTCATAATTGGTGCTACCAAATGGGCATGAGAAAAATTAACATAACTCCAAAGTCCAAAAGTGTAAATAAGGCTCACGATGGTCATCTTAACAATGATTTAACAGTTCTAATAATTCCATTGGAGCGATAAAAGCAACAGTGCAGTAGAAACAAATTGTGGAATTCCTATTGAATTGTGCGTTTTCCTTTCTGGCTATTTACTAGAGCTTTGGTTATGATATGAACCAGAATTCCAATGGGGCAACATAGCAAGCATAGCAACACCGAATGACGGATCTCAACATCATTTTGCATACCGTCTTCATACACCTGCCTGTTTGTTCAAAAACTATCAATATTCATCGCAATACTTTTATTTGACACACACCACCCGAGAAAAGCAAAATAGATGGGACGGGGAAATTAAGATAGAGTACTTTGCAGCATAAAGATCCACCACTAACAGGTGAATCCACGCGGAAGCCAGAGTCATCTCATTCGCAAACATCTGAGCCATGCCGGGAAGCTGGAATATTGGGATGTCAATGCACAAGTTAATTTAATTTATTCATTCCCTTAACTAAAGTAAAATTATGGGTAGACTGAGGCTAACATCTAGGTAGAGTGACCAGGGTCCGTTAGATAAAGACACGGGCTATTTCTGGAATCCCACATCAAAAAATTAGACAAAATGATGAGTTCATAAGACTGTTTCTTGAACTAATCTTTTACTATAGTTTCACAATTGTCTTATGATCCATTTGAGCGACTCTAAACCAATTTTGAATACTCCCCGCTTTCAAGAAAAAGAATTTGGTAAAATCTGTTTAGCCAAATAACTATGTCAAAAGCTATTTATTCTTTTAATGAGCAGAATAAACCACTGCTGGAAACCAAACAGACTCATGCCAAAAAGGACAAGTACAATGCAATGGTTGATGGTTGAGCACACAAACCTCTGGCAGCCAATACTTGCTAGAAAACATAAACCGCAATGTATCAGGTGTCCAAGAAAGATACAGAAGATAGGCATACACCACTCCAAGTGCGACAAATGGTGTGCCATTTCCCATCAATTTCTTGGTCTGCATTGCAAATAATGACCAATCCCGTTTTGACACAAGGGGAGAGATGGGTTTGAAACAATGAGAAAAAGTTGCAATATAAAATATTTTGTTGGTATTGGATAGATATTTACAGGAGATGCATATGGAGAGATTTACCAAGTCGGACCGCGGTGCAACAACCATGAATGTATAAAATGGAAGGACGGCTACAGTCCCCCATGTAAACGCACTGCTAGCAATTTGAGAAGCTGCCAAAACTACAAGACAATAGTAAACTTCAATCAAATCCTTCTCTAAGCTTCAAAGAACATCATATTAAGATATTCCAGGTCCATCTTATGGGGGTGCTTTTTTACCACACTAACTTTTTCTTTCAAATGGCTCACTAAATCAGCGTATCTTCTTTGTTATGAAGAAGCAACAGTCAATCGATGCAATTTTCGACGCGAATTTCACCACGGGTCATCCGGAAACAGTCTCTTTGTGCTTCAGTACAGGGGTAAGACTGCGTACATCCGGCCCCTCCTTACCCCACCATAGGTGGCACTGGGGTAATGATGATGATGACGACGATGACTAACTTCTGCTTTAACAAAAAATAAAATAATGGTTCAAGTATTACAGTTTAGTAGTATTATAGTCTCTTAATCCTATGAGTTTCAAGGTTTGTGTTTCCTATTCATATCAGGCTTAAAATTTAGGTTTCCAATTCTTACTGAGTTTAGGTCCATTACTTTCCATATAAATAAGCATTGTAATAGCCTCTAGCAATAGTTGTAAGTTCAGACTTTGGATTAATATCAATAAAGTAGTAGTATATTATTATAAATTATGTACTTATATGACTCCATTAAGTGAATCGACTGGGAAAACAAGAATATAAGTTAATACGTTACCCAAATTGCTAAAGTGCACACAAATGACAGATGAGACTTCTATGCAAAAACTTTAGATAATTACATGATGCAGATACCCCGAACTTCTTCCTGTGCAAAGACTTTCTCCCAAATATGGGTTGAACTGAGGCCCCTGATTTCCCAAGAAAGCTACATTCACTCCACAGATTGCCCTTCCCTATTTTTTGGTAGTAAAGTCTGTGATTTGCAGTTCTAGCAGTGACAATAACTGAGTTCTGATTTCCCTTTGAACCCAAACTTGGGCAGTAGTTGAGCTACAAGAGGTAGCCCATGCATGTTAAATAATTGTTTGTCTTTGAGAAGGATACAAATCACCCAAAGCAAATATATGTAACCAAATTACCAAAATATGAATTGTGCCTCCCATCCAGACCCCTCCACCTATCAATAATCGGGACTATATGTAAAACTTATAACCCTGAAGAACAAACATAAACTTATTTATTTCTATTTTGAAACATCTGCCCAATAGAAAGAGTAGCCAAAAGACTTATACATCATTTTGTATTTCTAAATTTTGTCCATGTGGGATGACAACAACAACATACAACAACATCCAAGCCTTTTAATCCTAAAAGATTTTGCGGTCGGCTAACATGAATCAATCAAGGGATGACTAAACACTATAATCCCTTAAAACTCTTAAGACCCTGTTGATAAGAGCTACTGTGCCTCCCATCCAGACCCCTCCACCTATCAATAATCGGGACTATATGTAAAACTTATAACCCTGAAGAACAAACATAAACTTATTTATTTCTATTTTGAAACATCTGCCCGATAGAAAGAGTAGCCAAAAGACTTATACATCATTTTGTATTTCTAAATTTTGTCCATGTGGGATGACAACAACAACATACAACAACATCCAAGCCTTTTAATCCTAAAAGATTTTGCGGTCGGCTAACATGAATCAATCAAGGGATGACTAAACACTATAATCCCTTAAAACTCTTAAGACCCTGTTGATAAGAGCTACTTGGCTGGAATGGGTGAATCATCTAAATTTTGTGAAAGGAAAACGGTTATGACAACCGACAAGAATAAGCTTATAATCGCTACCAAACAGAGCCTTAAAGGAAAACAAACCTAACCAGATACCAACCTAATAAAACAAGGGGCGCACAATTTTTTGATAAATCGAGCTGAGGAATTCAGTATACACAAGAAGCATAGAATCAGAATGATCACGACTGCCCAGACACCAAATGAAATTAAGAACATCAAATATGAGACGCACCTGGGAAGAAACGGAGATTAGGGGGAAGGCAAAGCAAGAAAAGGCGGCCATGAAGGGCTGTTTGGGAGGGCAAAAACACTTAAGATAAAAAAATCGACCTGCAAAAAATAGAAAAGAATGGCTGTCGGTTACTGAAGATTCATCCGAGTGCGCACATCAGCACAGCTAGCTCCTCTATACATACAAATACACGACTCATACTCCCCTCCATTTCTTTTTCAATCTCTCTTGCAAATCACCAACCGTCCCTTTTATCTGTCCCTACCCCACTATCCTCTAATCTCTTTCATTTGGAAAATTCCGGTCACTGGAGAGGAGCTAAATTTCAAATCACAGATACAGTCATACAGAGGATTGCGGTAAGTACGGAGTATAAAGCTTTCTCCTTTGGGGAAGTTGGGCAAATGTTTGGGTGGAGTTTTCATGATGCATCATAGAAACAGGAAAGTTGATTGCACGGTAAAAGCGAAAATCCCATAAAATGGTAACCATCTAAACCGCAATTACAGACGGGTTTGGATATTGGGGAGAAATTGTTTTACTTTGCTAGAATTGTTTTTTGAGCACGAGACAATCTTCAAATATCAAATAGAATACAGATTAAGGCGAGTTCGTATACCGTGAGCACCATGCTCCACCTCCCAAAACGACATAGTTTTGATCAATTTAAAAAAAGAATCGCGTGAACAGTACACGCGTGAACAGTACGCGCGTGTACAGTAATTTTTTTTAGTTTTCATCCCATGACTGATGTAACTTGTGCATAATTAGATGTAACTCGTGTTACTGCAAATGTAACTTCAACTAACGACATATGTAACTTGTGTCCTGAATTGTAACTCATGTTTAATGCAAAAAATGAGTCTAATTTTCCAATTGTTTTGCATAAATAGTGCATATGTTTTGTTTTTAATATTAAGTCCATTAAAAATGATTTTTAATAAGAAAATTATTTTTGATTGAATAACAGAGGTTTATTTTATTGTGTAACTCGAGTTGTTTTGTGGTGTAACTTGCAGTATGTCAAATGTAAATAAAATGTAATCAAGATGTAACTTATTGAGAAAAATTGGAATGTAAATCGCGTGTTACAAAATGTAACTTTAACCAAAACAAAATGTAATTCGAATGTATGTGAAATGTAACTCCTTTTTTTCTTTCTGATCCCTAGATTTTTAGAGGGGATAGAACAAATTAAGGACTTTCGGAGTCCCCAGCAACAAAATATCCCCCAAGCAACAATAGATAATTCATGAAACACCTAGAAGAAGCTGGAAAGATGATGGACGATTCCTGACAGAAAGATCAAATAGGCACAGAGTATAGAACATCATGGATTTCATAGTCTTGAGGGAGATGTGGTCCTTGTAGATGGAGTACCACTTCTGGATTTGAATCTTATCTGCTCAGATCCAGATTGTGCGGCTAGTAGCTTCTTCAGGCCTCCTATGCTTTCTTATCTCTTCAAATAACAAAAATAATGAATACATCGAACAAGAAAAGGAATAGTTGCTCTCCATCGATGCTTTGCTATTGCTAATTTAATCGTTTCTCTGCGTCTCGCAAACCGAAGCTAGCGATAGGAAATAAGACCAAAGCTCTGTATAATTTTTAATTGGCCGGAAACGGTACCGTATGGGATTGGCACACCATGCTCACGGTGGGCCGATCTCACGGTATAATTTGCGGATTAAGGCTGTTTGGAAACCCTTGTTTTTCGAGTATTAGTCATCTTTTTCACCAAACTGCTTTCACGCGCTGAATTATGTAACAAGCGGAAAAAGTAAGGTTATGTACTTTTCTGATTGTATTGACTGAAGTTATTATAGATGACCATTTTAGCTATTTTACATATAATTTTTTCTTTATTTTATTAATAAAATATATTTTAAAAATCATTATTCTTAAATCAGCAGAATAAGTCAATGCAGCCACTTCAGCCAAAGCTTCATAAATTTCAGCAGAATAAGACAAAACAGTCGATTTTCGTGCTACCAAATGGGCTCTCGATCGTGAAGACTCACTAAACATGAAACGGACAAATTTAGGTCTAAAACGATAGGAACTGAAACCATGTATATCAAAAGAACTCCATAAATCCAAACATTCATATCAAATATACTCGAACTAAAACAGACACAATTGCAACTAAATACAAAATAATACTGAAGTGGTTTCTGAGGAGGATGAACTCTTGCAATATGGGTGAATACCAACTCAACCACCGTGACAATGGTCGACCAAGGCTTCACGATCCAGCCTCGATACAATCTCCTAGCCGCACCTCGTTCATCCGCCAACGTTGTCTCCTCCAACGTAGTTGCAATCCCAAACATTAGAACACTTAAAATCAGTATAATTTGCCGCTCTAACCCCATATTAATAGGGGCGACAGAAAATCTCAACCCCTACAAAGAGGTGAGACGGTCGCTAGGGTTCCTCTCTCTAGAGATAGAAGTGACAATTTACTTTGTGAGAGTTGTTAATAATGTAGTTTTTTTAATGAATTATCAATAATGTACTTGAAAATTAAAAGTTACACTTGAGATTAAAGCAGAATAAAGTCAAATAATATAGATCACAAATTTTTGTAAAAAATAGAAATATGATATTTATATTGGGACAATCTGAAAGGGAAAACAAGACTTCTCGTTAGGGTTACTTGATATAGAGGGACGCGCGAGAAGAAACACTATCACTCCAATCCGGGTCCGGGCCGGGCCTCCGGTTTGGTCTTTCTTTTTTTTGCTTTCCTAACCCCCACCTCACCCCCCCAAACCCCTCCTAACCATCAAGCCCAACCCGGGTAACCCCAAAAAATGAAAAAAAAATGAAAAAAAATCAATTCGGCCCGGACCTGGGCCTGACCGGGCCGGTTCGCCAAATACAAGGCCCGAGCCCTGACCCCCCCACCGGGCCGGTTCGCTAAAAATTCAATCGGGAAGGCACTCAAATAATTTCTTGAAGTTAACTGGACAGTTCATACATATAAACTGCCCAGTTAACTTCACAAAATTATTTGAATGCCTTCCCGTCGAATTTTGAGCTGAAATTTGGTATGGATAAACTAGACTTCATGAAGAACATGCTCAAAAAATTTCATCAAAAAATTCTATCAGGAAGTGCCCGAAATGCCCTCGGCCGGACGGCGGTTCCCGTCAGGCCGGCTGGACAAGAAGACTACTCTAGTATAGTATATGTTCTTTTAAATGTCAACCTCCTCTTTGAGTAAGTTAGAAACTAATCTGATGAATTCCCATAAAAACATAAGAACATAATAATCTGATGAATTTCGTTGAGTAACAAAAACTCAAGAAACTAATCTGATGAATTCCCATAAAAACATGATATACGGAGTACATAATAATCTTGTATGCAAAGGGTAAGGCATTGCTAAAATAACATAAAAACACCTTCAATGCTACAGATAATAATTTTTTGTCATTTCTTTTTCTTCTATTTACGATCTTATCTATTTTCGTTAACTTTTTTCCCAACAATGTTTACATTTAAACATTCTGTTTGACATTATCAACTATATCTTTCTAAAGACATATAGCACCGTTCAAATAAGGAAAGATGCATTCAATTTATTAATTTTCATGTGTCTATCTCTCTTATTAAAGCCCTCATCGGTCATGACCATCCCTGATCAAAATCATCAAACCAAGGAAAAGTACTCCTTTAATATATACTACTAATAAATAAATAAATAAATAAATAAATATCCTTTAATTCAGCTGCCGTAAACAAAGTATGGATTTATGGTAGAAAATTTGGTTGGTAAAGGAATGCAAAACAAGCGCTGAATACAAGATTAAATATGGATGGATGGGGAATGTGCAACATGTGAGTGCTTATTTTTTAGATGCTAAAATAAAACAAACTTCATGCTTCAACATATGCATTAGTTCTCACAATACATTAATATATACACCAGTAAAGGTATCATACACAATAGGGATTACATTGTGCATTAATCCGTGTATGTGTGTGTATAATAATGTGTATATATAATTATGTATGTTGATCAAGCCAAGAAATAATGTCACCAATTACTCTGTGAATCATCTCATCTGGCTCACCCTCCAGAAGGGAATGCCAAGCCTCATCATAAAGGTTTAACTTCTTGTCTTTGCTGTTGGCCTTCTCATACAAGGCTTGGCTCACTGATGGATCTGTTACTTTATCATTCTTCCCATGCAGAATGAGTAAGGGTAGAGAAACCTGCAAGACCAGAGTATATAAACCTTGGATGTGTGTACATTTTATCAGAGGGTGTTTGACAAAAAGATGATATTTTTAAAAAGTATTACTCTTGAAGATCGAAGTGTTTAATAGAAAAAGGATGATTAAAATATTATACTGCAAATAAACCGAGCTTGAAACAATCCTAAACATAAAAATACTTGCAGCAACAGCAAGAGTTTTGATGCCGCATGCATACCGTTACTATTAAAAGGTGATGCTGATAAGCGAAAGAATCAAGACTAAATTATATTTTGGCAAAAACGGAGTGTGTTTTATGGAATGTTGTGTGATTCGTCAGATATAATTTGTATGGGGTACTATATATAGAGTGTGAACAATGTTTATCGTGAGAATAATCACTTTTTCTCCAATCTGATACACAAAACATGTTAAACTTGTGAGACTACCAGGGTAATAATGGATAAAGTAGGATTGTTGAAACTGTTAATATACCGATTCTAGTAATTTCTCAATCTCTTGAGTGGTCCTCAATAGTTCCACAGCAGTCCTCAAACGTGGTTTATGTTTGTAAGCAATGACATTGTAAGCTGCCTGCAAATAAATTAAAAACATTTTAAAGAAAACATATACAGCATCCATATATATTACACGTGGTTTTGTAGTGTCAAGTTATCTCACATAGACCTTTTAAAGACATTAGCCTACTTCTCATATAAGATTGATCTTTAAAAACGGAAAATAAGGCCTTAATATGGTAGCTGAATCAATTAAGTTCAAATAAGCAATTTATCAGACTAAGATTCAAAATGAGGACACAGACTTGGTCAGTTTCAATATTGGGACCCGTAAAATCATCACATGGCCAAATATATCATATGAACAGCTGAACGCTAACCTGTTATGATAGAATTTCAAATTCTATTACATAGAAAGGAGATAAGATGGACCTGTTCTCTCTTCTTCTTGTCTCTGAATGCTGCCTCAGCTAAGTCTGTTTGAGGGACTAGCTTCAGTTTTGGAAGAAAATTTGCCATCCCTATAAGTATTTTTGCCAATAGCCAAGGTGGAGTCATATCATCTGCAATCTATTAGAAGTATTAAGTCATATATCCAATGCACATATAACTTCTACAAATAGACCACGTTTCTGAAGTGGAACACATAAGAAAAGACATTAGGAATAATTGAGATTCCATCTTGATATAACTTAGGATTGGTTTGACGTCATTCAATTGGGGTCATAATGCATTTAGATTAAGCAGCACTAAGGACTTAACTCAATCAATTAGGTAGGACTACTCAATGTAGTTCAAGCTGATATTTCTTTCTTAAATATTCAGATGTAACACATCCAAAACATTTTTTAAAGGTGACCGATAAGTGGAGTAGTTCAAAGTATTATATTTAGGGCATGTTGAGTATCATTGTCAATTTTAGGGTTTTAAAAAGTTATGACACACTCTGGATGTGTATAATGAATTAGAAAGTAATCATGCTCTCGTATAGTAACCATGTGAATAATTTTATGTATTAGTTTTATATGTTAGATTGTGTATTTTATATACTTACTTATACTGTGAACTGTATATGTTATTTTGAATTTTTAATTTGTTTACGATGAGGGAAAACTTGACATCTAGACAGAGCTTTTAATGGCAACGATCATGGTAGAGAATCGTAATCTAATTTACCTTGCACATAGGTGCAACAAGAACCGCACCACTCCATGCATGAGGTTGCTTCAGGTGCACCTTCAAAGCAACTGCTCCCCCCATAGATTGTCCAAAGAGGAAGCTTGGCAGACTGCACCATTCTTGATTTTCTGCAACAAACATTTAGCTTCTAGTTCACCTCTATTAAAATTTCACTTTAATATTTTTATTATGTGAGAGCGCTTGACACCTCTAAAGTACATTTTAGAATATGATGTACAAAAAAACAAAAAAATATTTGATTTTACCTTTAACTTTTGAGAAATTCTCAATGACATCATCAACAAGCTGGTCAAAACTATGTACGTAGCCATGGAGACCTTCAGAAAGACCGAATCCAGGGTAATCCATGGCAAATACCCCATAACCAGAACATGCTAGCTTTGCAGCAATACCTATAAAGAATGCCAACCTTTCACATTGAATTACCTCCAAAATTATTTAACATGGACACTTGTAATGCTTTAACAAACCACTTGCCTTCAACAAAAAATGTACAAGTATCTCCATAACCATGACATATACAGATCAGAGCTTTGGGCGGACTTGTCGCCGGAATCCAGCTTTTGGAAAAAATCTCTATTCCTCTGGAGTTTTGCTTATAGGACTGCCAAGAAAACACAATACTCGCTTTCAAAGATTTACTATAACCCTTAATATATGATCTCTTAAGTTCACTATATATATACAGTATTACTATAGTCTATACGTTCAACCAATTGAATGATGAAATTTGCCTCAACTAAGTGCTTAATACAAATAAATAGATTGCACATTTAGAGCCCGTTTGGAGAACTCTGTTTTCGGCTTATCAGGCTTATCAGCCAGCTTTTTCACCAAACACGTAACTTTTACTTTCGCGCGCTGAATTGTGTAATAAGCCGAAAAAGTAAGGTTGGAGTTACTTTTCTGGCTGCATTGGCTGAAGTTACTGTAGAGGACCATTTTAGCTATTTTTACATATAATTTTTTCTTTAATTTATTAATAAAATATATTTTTAAAATATTTTTTTCTTAAATCAGCAGAATCAGCCAAAACAGCCACTCCAGCCAGAATATCATAAATTTCAGCAGAATCAGCCAAAACAGCCGATTTTGGTGCTACCAAACGGGCTCTTAGTATTTGTGTTATTACAAATTTAAACCTAAACATAACCACCATATTTCAAGGTGACATCAAATGTAATCATGTATGATGATATAATATCCATTACCTCCTCTATTTTTAAATCAGAGCGTGGCACCTGCAATAACCAGAACATAAACTAAATTAAAAAATACGAATAGATGGATATGCAGTTAGAAAAGATCAGCCAACTTCATCAATTCATAGCTGGGTAAAATTTCACAGTTAAATGAACTCAAGAAGCCAATAAAAGTATACAAGTATGAGCCTCAACCATATATGGTGAGAAGTCCATATACTCTTTAAGTCTTAACATACAAATCCTATTTTTTAAAGGAGGTTGACAAATGCTTGCTGGCCTATTTCAACATGATCCAATCTTAAGATAAATACACCATATTTACACTCCACCCATCCTACTCCAAAGTTCTTGATTCGGTTAAAGTTGACTAATCATAAAGTCAACTATTCCATCATAATACATACAGAGTATATATGTGTATGTGTGTGTGTGTTAGATTTAATAATTAAAATCTACACACTCAAAGAGTACAATGCAAGTTCTACTGAATCGGAAAAAACAAATTTGAATGTGATAAAATGCAATATATAAAATCATATATTAAAAAAAAAGTTAAGTTGACTACAGAAATCACATTAAATTGGGACTTTAATTGGGATTGAGGGAGTACTACATTAAGCAAGCTCTATATGAAGAGTTGAGTGTTCTTACTGACCCATGGTTTTGTACCTTGCTTTATACTTTTTTAGCTATTAAGTGTACAACTAATATATTAAAATTTGGATTCCATCAATCAAGCTTGATAGAAGAGTGGCTCAAGATTTTAACTGTTGATAAAGAATTTCTTTAATGAAAAATAAAAATGGGTTGTAACCATAAATAAGGATGTTTTTATTTGGACTAAACCAAACTAGATCCCATGAATTAATTGAATGCATCAGCCACAACGAAAAAAGCATGAAAACAAGGTGTACCCGCACGTGTTGACTAATTTATGAACCCTCCACCAAACATGAAGTAATAAATCAATAAAGGTGTAGATTAATTGATATTAGGCGTTTCAAACTCTAGTGGGAAACAAACGGAAATCCATGGTTCAAATCAATAGACGCGGCAATACTGAAATCGAAATACAAACATCAATCGAACATATATACCTTGAACAGGAAATGATCTATTGAGAGCTGGGTGGCCTTGAAAGCCTCGCGGGCTCGACGCCTGGCCTCTACGAAGTCCATATTCGCACCCAGAAGCTTCTGCACTTCTTCGCTAATACCCGGAAATCTCGGAGCCTTCCCCATCACAGCTTTTCAGCTCACGCCTCCCACCTGGTATGAGTAAACTTGAATCCTATTCCAGTACTTTACTATCTATGAATCTATGATGGAAAAAAAATGAATCTTTAATGGACGCCGGAATTGGTTTGTGCTATTCTCAATCGATCGAGTATCGGATTGGGGGGGAGCAAAATGTGGACCGTGTGTACGGCTAAGTTTCTTCGCAAAACAGTTGGATACTTGCCTTTTCTCCGTGTAACATGTGTTTTGGAGCTTAGTAGCTTACGATGGAGATTATAAAAAAAAAGTCAACTAGCAGGCTTATTAAGGGCAATTAGTATAGTACCCGTTATATTATTCTCTGTTTAAACGTACTTCCCAAAAGTATTATCACCAAAAGTCAAATTTTTTCGAAAGTCAAATGAGAGGCCGTTTGACAGCACTTTTTTTATCAGCCAACTTTTTTACTAAATATATAATTTTTGCTTTCGCACGCTGTATTGTGTAAAAAGCAATAAAAGTGAGGTTGAAGTTACTTTTCTGACTGTATTGGCTGAAGTTACTGTAGATGATCATTTTAGCTATTTTTACATATAAATTTTCTTTATTTTGTTAATGAAATATATTTTGAAAATATTTTTTTCTTATATCAGCAGAATTAACCAATTCAGTAACTCCATCCAGAACAAGGGCGGCCTTAGCACTTTGGAGGCCCCAGACGGAAAACGCTTAACATTCACAAATTATATGAATACAGTGAAAAAGAAAGTGGTATTTCTCAAAAAATAATTTAAAATGAACACAAACACAAAATATGAGAAATAATGCCATATTTAAAGTGTAACACATACAAAGTAAAGTTTAAAATGTAACACATACTAAATGCACCAAAAAGTATACTCAGGGGTGTAGACAAGGGGTGGCCATCCCTGGCCATGGCCCAGCCCAAATTTTAAAAATGTCTAAATTTTTATGGTAAAAAATTCCGTGTAAATTTTTTTCCAAAAATATTCTTTGTACCGGCCCAGTCCGACTCAGTGTCCTGGCTCCACACCTGAGTATACTCTTTAATAATGTTTTCTTCTTGCTTTTTTAAGTTCAAACTTGTGTTTATTTGACAATACTTACATATTTAATATATTTATAAATTTAACCAAAAAATAGTCAATTAATAAAAAACGATCAACAAAAAATTAAACTAAATAATTAGTCAATTACAATATACAATTATAAAATATTAGTGGTAAAATAACTAAATGACTAATCCGATTACCATAATGAAATATTAATGCAAAACATAAATTACTAATAATGATACTAACATTATAACAAATAAAAAATTACCCAATTTTATTTTGTTAATAATTTTAAATAAGTGCATACAATCATTAGTGAGTGAGTCTATTCTTATTTCTTAGACTTTGGCAATAGTGTCGAGAAGTACCTAACCCCAAATTCTCAAACCTCACTTCACGGCCAATTGCAGAAATCAGAAACCATTCATAAGTACTCGGTATTTCTTTTACCAAAAAACGGTACTTCGTATTTCTAAGGTGGTCTGCGAGGTTGTTCTATAACTATTACGGAGTATTTCTTAGGCCAGATTTCTAGAACATAAGAAATCCAAAGTACAGAAGGAGAATAGGGCCACAAAGGAAGCAATAAAGCAGAAAATAAGGGTATCGGAAATCGGAGTATTATAATCTTAGATTTGCCAAGACGGTCTGCTACTCCGTTTGATGAGATCGAACCGAGAAGCCAGTTGTTGGCTTGCTGCTTTCCGATTTGAAGGTTCCAGTTCAACGGATAATTACTTCATACGGAGACACGGAGTATTATATACCTAATACTCCCTCCGTCCCGCTATTAAACTTCATACTTTCCTTCTTGGGTCGTCCCAAAATAATCTTCTCATTTCCCTAAATGGAAAGTTATCCTACATCAAAACAGTGTCAAACAGTGCAAAAACAATGTCAAACAGTGTCAAACAGTGTCTAAACAGTGCCAAACAGTGTCTAAACAGTAAAGTCAAATTTATTTCCTAAATATGTGTGTAGGTCAAAGTAGGAACTTAATAGAGTGACGGAGGGAGTATTAATAATATAAATACGTAGTACTTTGCGGAGGCCCCTTTGGCATATGAGGCCCTAGGCAGTTGCCTTAGCCAACTGCCCCAAAGTCAGCTCTGAGCCAGAACTTCATAAATTTTAGTAAAATCAGTCAAAACAGTCGATTTTCGTGCTACCAAACGGGCTCTTAGTCTCCTACAACTATTTCTAATAAGTACCGGCGATCATAACCACTAATTGTCGACCTATGATGTGTTTCATATCATCTCAATTTTGTTTTGATCATAATTACATCTATAAATTGTTCCTTTTGCATGCTCCAAATCTCAAGATCAATTTTTCTTTTAAATTTCACTTTACATTATTTGTTACGATAGTATATCTACATCATCACTTCGCCAAAATAATTGAATATACGGCTGATTTTTCTCTCTTTAAATTATTGGATCACATTGCTACTTCTTTTTCCATGGAATCTTCTATTAATTTGGGTTTCTTCAACATCACACATGTATTTAATCATTACATTAACGACTTTGGTATGTCTCAGGGCAGTAGATGAGGGCGTGCAAGAAGTGCAACCGCACAAGGCCTCTCAATTTCAGAAGGTCCAAAAATTTAAATATAGTCTATATAATATAATAAATCTTTATTTATTTGATTAAAAATTCCTATCTTATTACTTTTTTAAATACAAACATTAAATAGTACTCCCTCCGTCCCGCTATGATTGTCTCATTTTACCATTTCGGTCTGTCCCGCTAAGATTGTCTCATACCTTATTTGGTAAAGTTTTTGTGGTTCTAAATCATTCCTACTTTATTCTTACTTTATCAATTCAATATCAACCACATAAACCCTCTTTCATTAAAAACTGTGACACCTTCTCTTGTCCCAAACTTAGGGGGACGGAGGTAGTAATATTTATATGTAATTAAAGTGCAATTGTTAATTACAATTGTGTAATTTCTTTATTTCACAAGGCCTAATTATAGGAATTAGCACAAAACCCTCGTACAGTTTGGAACGAGCTTGTAACTACTTTCTTTTTCATACTTTGTCATTACTTTACTTTTCTTAATTTATTCTCTTTTCTACTTTTTCATTTACCTTTAGGGCCTATTATTTTCTTCTTAAAACCCACAAAAAACTTAAGGACACTATTATTAAAAAACGGTGAAAGTATTAATATAATGATTATATAATTAATGGTAAAAAAAACTTAGGGCCTCATTTTCAATTTTGCACAGGACCTTCTATATGTCCGGCCCGGCCCTGGTATGTCTATTTAATCATAACAAAAAACTAATAGTGAATTGCTCAATAATAATACATGATTATAAGAGGAGGTTATTCAGCATTTGTTTATTGAACATATCGAACAATATTAATTATACAGAATAAGAATGAATTTATACAATATCTCATGCTATAAACATTTTGGCACATTTTTTAGATCACATTTTTATTTTAAAAAAGACCAAAAACAAAAATATACGTAGCAATAAATTAAATGTAAAAATAAGATTTACACTTTTAGATAAGAAAACGAAATTGAATCACAAAATTGAGTTTATGCTTGGATTGATGATAGTAATAATATTGTTTTATATTTAAGTAAAACCATATATAGATCTTGAAAAATTCTGAATATAGGTTATATGGTTACACACTCTGACACTCACACATCGATTGCTTGGAAAACTAATTACACACCACTTAAAACCGATTTAGTTATATACGGTCACTCGCAATGTAACATACTAACATCCCTCGTCCTAACACCAAAAGTGAGGCATCTGTAAAAATGCAATAATCAGATGTTAGATATATTATTTTGGGAGAATTATTTCATAGCAATCAAATACGGAGTATATACTAAAACTTAGAGAACTCTAATGCAAAAAAACACTATTATTAAATTATTTCATAGCTTCTATTCGAAACTTAGGTCAATTTACTTTTCTTTTTATTTCTCTATAACATGATTTATATTTTGTCTTTTTATTCCTTCATATACCTCGTTATAAAAAACTATGCATTTAAACTTTTTCTTTCACCAGTTTCAATTAACTAGTATTATACCCGTGCGATGCACGTGACAAAAATATAATTTTATATTATACATTATACTTTTATTCTATACACATACATATTAAAATATTAATGTAAGATGTATATTTATTATATTCTATGAATATTGAAATATATGCAATGGCAGAGATAGGGAGAGGCTCACAAGGGACTCAACCTGCCCAAGAATAAAATTTTAAATATGTATAAATGTTCTTAAACTATAAAAAGTATGTTGGTTTTTACGTTTTGGCCCCTCCTACATTGTAAAATTCTTAAACTCCGACCCCTTAATAATATAGTCCTCACGCCGGTAAACATCGATTAAATTTTAAATTTAATGTGAGTTATGCATATGTCTATATGAAATAATTCAAATGAAGTGTACATGCTATGTCTTGTAGCCACTCCATGCAAGTAAAGTTGAGGTTAAGGATTATGAGATCTCTATGGCCATCGTGGCACCATGGAACTGAAAGAACAAATGTTCATTGTAGTTCAATTACTTGGAAGTTGATGGGTTTTTGCCTATATCCTCCTCATAGAAAGAGGGATAATTTTATGTGCTCAAATAGTATTGATTTAAGAACATTAGTTGAGGTAGGGTGCTAGATTTCAAAATTATTTTCTTTAATGTCATAGTGAGTACGTATTACTACGTATTAAATAAGTCCAAAATATAAATAAAGTTCAACATTTTTATAAATGAGTAAATTATTTTATAATGCACATAACATACCAATTCAAAGATTTTGGAGTACTGAATGGTAATTATATTATTGTATATATCATGAATGGTAATTATATTATTGTATACATCATCAGAGGAAGATTCCCTTCCTAGAACATACTGACGTCCTTCCTTATTAATTTCATTATGAATATACTTATGAATATATCATCTTTTTTACAAAGTATCATCTTATTGCCCAGTAACAATTAATCTGGCTTGAATTAAAATTTACTTACATTATGAAGAATGTTCTCCTAATTAATGCATGCCGGACAACCATATGAGATCTCAATGTAACCTTTTGAACACTACCTTCGTATCTGCTAGTTGCTCTGCAAAAACAAAACCATTAAATTAAAGAAAACAACAATAATCCTTTACGTACTAACATTTCACTATGAATGAATTGTGATGTAAAAACTGATATGGTCGGAGTAC